AAAATGACTTAAAAATAGGAATAATTACTCATAGCAAATGGTGCTAAGCCATCAGTACAATAACAACAGAGAGGTACCCACACAGTTCACCGATGACTTGACAAGAGCAGACGTACTGAAGTGTCCCAACAATGTGAGTGGGGAGGGTCAGCTACCGTTACTAAGCCAACAAGAGAACTGGAGTATTTCCTACACTGTTCTGAAGCCTTTACCGGAGTCATGTGGTATACAGCACATCCTCTCAATGGAGGTGCCGTTTTTTAAACATCACTAATCTCATTTGTAGCATTTCCACAGCCAAATACAGAGAACACTTAATTCTTGCATTTTTGGAAACTAGAACCTAACACGGTTTGAAGCATTAAAATTACTGTAACAGTATATCCTAGCAAAACCTCACACCTTGCTGGTTAGAACCTGGAAAGCTATTCCAAAGCTTCATCTTGTCCTGCATCCTAAGAGGGGGAAGATTAAAGTTCTTTTTGGAGCATACCTTCCATTTGTTCTGGTGATGAAAATTAAAGTTTTCACTTCAACGTAGAGACGGCTATACAAGAAAACAAAGGGTTACCTTCAAACATGGCTATTGGGTACGTTTCAGCAGAAAGCTTTCACTGCGATTTTGGCTGTTTGTATGGGAGAAACGCTTTTCCTCTATACATATTTATAGGATATGAGCCTTTATGTAACCGTGTCTTCTGGCGCAGGCTTCGTCCTTTGTGTCCCAGCTCAAGCAGTTGTGCCCTGGCGATCAGAAGCAAAGACCGCAGTGGTTTCAGGAAACAGACACAGACTTGTGCTTCACCTTGAATCAAAGGAGATGTTGGGAGAGGGAATGCGTCACGTCTTGCTGTAGCTCAATGGAATAGGGACTGTTCTGAATTCACACAGATCCCAACTCTCTACACTGTTACTTGAAGCTGAATACCTCAGGCTTTGGGCAACATGCTGGCGATGGATTTTTGTGTTCTCATGTGACTGTTACCTGGGGGCTACAGAGCCAGGCCAAATCCTGTGAGTAGGGGCCTCCGTGGCTATTATAGCAGCACCCATTTGTGCAACTTGCAAGAAAGCATGCAGGGGAGACAGATGCCCTCTCCAGACAGATGAATTTTAAAAGGCACTCTATCTAGGCAGACAAATCACAAAACGGATGCTCACTTTGGGCTAAGGGATTATAAAAAGGCCCCTTTTCCTCCTGGAGCCAGGACTCGGTTCACCTGGCAGAGCCTGAGCTGGATTCAATCCTCTACTGGTCCCCTGGGTGGGATGCCTCTGCAGGGTGTGAACGCACAAACTGCCCATTGGGACCCAGCAGCTTTTAGGTTGGGGTTGCCCTTAGGCAAGTAGCCAATCCTTGAAAGAAATGCCTGGAAAGAAAAACTAGAAACAAAGATGGGCCTGAGACTGGAGCAAGGAAAACTTCCTCCTTTCTCAGAGGCCTCATGATTGGGCCCAGGACTCAGGGGAGAAACGTTTCCGTACACACCTTAGCAGGGAAATTTCCAGTAGAGTCATCTTGCTCTGTCTACCA